CAAGTGAACAGTCAGTTCTCGAAGTTGATGTGTTAAAAGCAGGAAAAATGGGAAGTGTAAGGATCTGAGCGACTTTGCAGTGGTTAGTACCTACCAAAAGTGGTCCAAGGAAGGACAACCGGTGAACCGTAGACAGGGTCATGGTCGCCCAAGGCTCACTGATGTGCACGGAGAGCTAGGGGCCGTTTACACGACAATTTTTTTGAAAGTTTTTGAAAATGCTGCCGTTATCGTCTCCGTGTAAACGTACAAAAACGAGAATCAGTGAAAACGTGGGCACATCCATCCAACATTAAAACTAGCATCAGACTCAGCCATGACTTGAAAACATGCGCACACATCTAACTTAAAGACCAACTTCTGGGTCGACGAACACACTTGAACGGCGTCTTTCTGACAAATCATGATTCACATTTATACGCTAATAATCAAAGTAATAAACGTCTGCAAGAAATACATGAGTCATACAGCCCTAATGCAGAGCCATGCGCAAATCCCAGGCACACTTTGAGCTTGTATCTCACATGTTGTTCTGTACCACATAAAACAAGCAGGCCTACAAGTCTGCCTTTCCTTTTCACGCAAAAAAAAAGAAAAGAGAAGACTTCTCCAGATGTGAGGCAGGCAGCCGACTCGCTCCTCCACCCTATAAAAAGAAAGAGAGTCCTGAGAGAGTTTAACTCATGTGGATGAGGGGAAGCTGCTCAGGAAGGACTGGACGACATGAGCACAGTCTTTTATTCACTGCTGTGGTTGTTTAATTTGCTGTAAAGAGATAATACGATTTCCTCTATTAAAAGCTTGTTTTGGTCTAAAGTTACTCATCTTGCTGTGCAGTAAAGTCAAACGAAACCGCTGGATCTTTTAAGAGTAGTAACCGATATCCAAGACTCGTTGTATGAGGAAAACATTAGAGCTCATTATAAAAGGAAAGCAGAGTTTCCAGACTCCATTAAACATATTTTTCTGGCATTGCATTTATTTAATGAAAAAAAAATAAGAAAAAGAAGCGTTGCCAAGAAAAGATTATAAAATTACAAACACACACACAGTTAGCTTTCATTCAAATGATCTGCTAATCTTAAGGGCAATATTTAGTTGTTGCTTTAATATGATACATTTTGGAATTTTTTCAAACTTAAACCATATACTTTGACACTAAGAATGAGAAAGCAAGCGCAAGAATAACGAAGGAAGCACACTAATACAATACAAGACGAGAAGGGTCGAAGATGAAATAAGTAAGGAATGACACGGGATAGGCCGTGCTGTTATAGTAAAAAATAATCAACCCTGAAGTGAATTATTTTCCCAGAACAGCATGTTTCAAAGTGTTATTCCTCTTATCCCACAGCGATTTGCCAACAGTTACATTTTTTTAATGAATTAGTGAACACTGCACACTTTTTTTTAACAGTTTAAAGCTACATTAAATTTTTAGAACGGCTGTGAAACAATTTTGTTCCTGCTATCACTTATATGTTTTAGTCGTTCCCTCGGCAACCTCTCTTTATTCGTTTGCCGTACAAAAAAAAAGAGCACCTTTTCATGATACCGAGAAACCAAAAAAGTGTGAAATCCTTTTCTGAAGACTTTAGCGTGGTGGAAAACTAACAGAAAGCATCGTAACAGAATGCTTTGCCATCTCAACGATTATACAAGTTCATTGGTGAATAACAATTTATTGTTACAGATATATATATATATATATATATATATATATATATATATATATATATATATATATATATAAATTATTTTATAGTATTGATGCATTATTTTTATGGAAGCACAAAAAGCATTGAATTAAACTACAGTCCTAAATTAATAATATATATTCTGTGTGTGTGTGTGTGTGTATGTTGGGTTCTTTTCTGTTTTGGAAAAACTGTTGTGTAAAGTTTTAGTCTGAAGTTTCTATTTGTAATAGTAATAATCAGCCAACTAATCGACTATGAAAAATAATCGTTAGTTGCAGCCCTAGAATATTTTGAGATACTGGATTTTTGGTTTCCATGAGCTGTAAGCGACACGATTAAAAAACAAACAAACAAAACACTTTATGTGTAATGAATCTAGAATATATGAAAGACCCACTTTTTGAAATAAATTGCGGGAAAAATTGTACTTTTTTTTCCACAATTTTCTAATTTTTTGAGATGCACCTGTACACTCTGACTTTCTCTATCTCTCTGAAAATCTGTCATGTTGCTGTTGGCGTCAGTGGGCGTGGCATTAAGCGCAGTTGCTGCCAGGAGGCGTGACCACGTCTGGACATTCTATTAACGGCCATTCAAATGATTCAAATGGTACCAGTGGTTGCCAGATTGTACCTGTTTCGTATCTTATTTGATAACCTATATCTACATTACTTACACACACAAAGGCTTTTAGCAGCAGAGTATAATCCTAAATGTACATTGTTGCATTTTGTGTTGTAACTGCTGTGTTTCTAGTATAAAACAGACTGCTTTTACATCACATATTTAGACCTGAAGAGAAACAAACGAAGCCAGTGAAATCTGGCAACCCAGAACAGAGCGCCAATCTGGACCGACTTCGGTATTGATCCTAAAGTGATTTTATCCACATGGATTATCTGACTGCTGTCGTGTATAACACTTGGGGTAACTAGACTGGGGGTGGTAAAGATCTCCAAAATGGTAGAAAAGTGAGAGAAATGCGGGCAAATTGGATAGAACTGGTGGGTTGTGGGTAGTGTGTGACTGGGAATAAGCGGGGGAGGGGCACATCCATACATTCAAATCAGAGTCAGTCTGAAGAGAAACGCTGACCCCCCCCCCCACACACACACACACACAAAGCCCCTAAAATCCATTTTAAATATTTATAGTAAGGTTTTTTGTTTTGTTTTGTTTTGAACATGACCATTTAACTCCGCATTTACACTACTTCACCTCTGAAGAAAGCTTCTACAGGAAGCTAAGCATCCTGCTATTCCTCTCAAGTCTATGCAATTTAAACTGCTCTTGCGCCACGTGACAGCTCCTTCAGCAGAAAAATAGATACAATAACAACAAAACCAAAAGGATTATAACCAAACATAAATCTATGACAGATGAAAAACACAAAACAGCACCTAAGTAACTTGTTAAAATAACAATGAAGGGAAATATGTGCTGTTAAAAGGTGATAAAAACAAAACACTGGACTTTTAGGGGAGGGGGGGGGGTTATAATAAGCTGACTGTATGAGTAATAATAAATAGTAATAAATAATAACTCGGGTTTTGTTTTAAAAGTAGCTGACAGCAGGTTAGCAAACCCAGCTAGCTTTGTTGGATGGGATTAGCCCACCCGCAGAGGGAATCCCGTCCACCTCTTTACACTAACACAGCTCCAACATCATCTGATTGCACTGACCTTTGGCGTCGCGATCTTCTCGTAAAGCTTCCGTTAGTGCTTTCCAGACACTGCATCCTAAAAGACAGAGCACAATCACGGCGGATCTGCTGATCTCCGAGCACCGCATGATTAAAACCTGCACAAGTGAGAGATCTTCAGGAAAAAGCTCGCGGTTTCTATCGCAGCAAACATCCGAACGAGCCGCTGCACCCTTCCATGATTTTAGGAGGTTTTGATCCCCGTGTCAGATGTTCCAGATCATCTTGAAAAAATCATCCAACATCCTCTACTGGAGCCTCTACGGATGACTCCAGGTTTAAAAAAAAAAAAAAATCAGATTCAAGGGAGTGTAAGAGCGCCACCAGTTTTAACCCTTTCCTTTCCTTTCTGTTTTACTTTCCCCGTCTGTGCTACTCCTCTTTCAGGAAGGATGACAATCACTCTTCATGGATTCTGTGTAATGGGAATTATATATATATATATTATATATATATATATATATTTTTTTTTTTTTTACAGTTGATCTACTAAACATTGCTCTGTGTTCAGTTAGTTATAGTTTTCATAATGTAAATACGGTATTATAACATGCCACTAAATAGCTACCGAAGCAATTTAGTATCCTGTCAGCAGTTATCTTTTTTAGCAACTTGCCCATGAAAGGAACTCTGAAACACATTAAATAGAATGTATACATTACAGCACAGTGAAATTATTTTCTTCACATACCCCAGCATGATAGGAAGTTGGGGTCAGGGCGCAGGGTCAGCCTTAATGCAGTGCCCCGGAGAAGAAAGGGTTAAGGGCCTTGCTCAAGGGCCCGACAGCTTGACAGTGCTGGGGCTTGAACCACCACCCGTCTGCTCAGTAACCCAGGGCAGAAAGGGTTAAGGGCCTTGCTCAAGGGCCCGACAGCTTGACAGTGCTGGGGCTTGAACCACCAACCGTCTGCTCAGTAACCCAGAGCCTTAAACGTTAAGCCACAACTGTCCCATACGCTTATGTTGCTTATATAAAGGGCAGAAAGACTGCTAAATCATAATACAGACAAAGAATGACTGCACTGCATATGAATCTAGAAAAATGTGGCAAGGTCTAGCAGACATCACGGACTATAAAGGCCGGACATATGCAAACGTCTCTGTATCTCTACTGGATGAGCTTTTGTATGCACACGTTTGAAGCCCTGAACACAGGGCACCTGATGAAGTACTCACGTTGTCCCTTACACAAGCGTACAAGTCACTGAGCAGAGTGAACACACGCAAGGCGGCAGGTCCAGATAACATCCCAGCATTTATTATGCCCACAATTGAGGTCATACATTTACATACGCCTCGCAGAATCTACAATCTAACATCCATCCATCTTCTGTACCACTTATTCTTACAGGTTCACGGGGAACCTGGAGCCTATCCCGTGGGCATGGGGCACAAAGCGGGGGACACCCTGGACAGGGTGCCAGTCCATCGCAGGGCACAATCACATACACATTCACACAGCCATTCATACTCTGCGGACACTTTTTGGACATGCCAGTCAGCCTACAAGGCATGTCTCTGGACTGGGGGAGTAAATCAGAATGCCCGAAGGAAACCCCCGAAGCACGGGGAGAACACGCAAGCTCTGCACACACAGGGCGGCGGCAGGAATCGAACCTGAGGAAATCGAACCTGAGGAAAATGTGCTAACCACTACGCCACCGCCATCACACATTTTTATAATTTTGTTTAAAGACCATTCCTTTCAGTACTGCCCTTCAGAAGCTACATAAGATACTGACATATTTCCCAGAAGACAAAATAATTACAATTTACACAGATCGTCCTGTTCAGAAGTTTACACCCCCCTGGCTCTTAATGTATTGCGTTGGCTGCTTGAGCATCAGTGAATGTTCGCGCCTTTTGAAATAGTTGTGTGCGACTCCCTCATGTGAAAAGATGGATCTCAAATATCATATAGCCGCTGTTGGAAAGGGTCAAATATGCACAGGATGCCGGAAAAGCAAGGCATGTGCTGGAACTGGAGGATTTTTCTGAAGGACAGTGGGCAGTTTAACTGCTCAGGACAAACAAGCGACTCGTGAACAACTATCACAAAACATAAAAACAGTCGTCGATCATCCAGGTAATGACACACAGGATTAAGAATCGAGCGTATGTAACTTTTGGAATTGGTTCATTTGTGTAAAATCAGTTATTATTGTGTCTTGTGGACTATATGTAAACATCTGTTATGTGAAATAGCTTATTCAGGGAAGAACTAAACATGAATGATAACAATCAAGTTTCAATGTTAGCTTCTTTTCTCACTCGCCATTTTTGTAATATCAATGAGAAATTCGTTAATTGGAGAATGTAGAGCTTTTCACCAGTAATGCGTACTGTATCTTTCACATTTTGGAAAAAAGCTGCCAATGCTTATTCTAGTTTTACCATGTTTCTTGGAAGCATGTCGTATGTGCACTATTTTTATGTACTGGGCGCCTATTGCATTCCACCATGTTTTCCTTTTGTACAGACTGCGATGTGCGTGGAGTTAAGCGGCATTGGGTGTGTCTATAACAAGACTGACAGGTGTAAACACAGACAAGCACAAATCGGTTTTGGAATCTGAAAATGCTTAAATAATTATTGTTTAGCATGTATTACATATTTTTCGGGTTATCTGTACCATTAACAAATAATAATAATAATAATAATAATAATAATAACAACAATAAAGCAAATAATACATCTTTAAACCTAAAACTGTATTTATAGGGTATTAGCAGGGTATCATTTTGCTCTTAGTCAGAAAAGGAAAGCACAAGGCTGCCATCTTGTGTGTATCTTTTTTTTATTTATTTGGCAATTGACTGTCTTTGATATCTGAAACATCACTCATTCACCATCTACATAGGTTCACCCTGATATCCACATTGACGCTGATACGTATTAACAGAACTTATATGTACTTATATCTTCTACCCAAACCACACAAGGAAAACAATCCTTATATCTTTTACTTCATGTCCCACAGAAATAATACCCAAGGATATTTCTGGATGACAGTTTGCACTGGTTGATCATTTTATCAAGCATTAATCATTTCACATATCAACTAGTTTCACCTAAAGCATCAGAAGCATTTTATTTGCACAGATAATGAAGGACTTTTGTCCAAAATGTTCTGTTTCTCTGGAAACTTTGTGTACTATGCAGAATTATACTACATCTGTAATTTTTTACTCCATGGATTAATGCTTTAGCTACTTGTCTCACTCTCTAACCTGTTCTGTATTCAATATATAATCAATATGTAATGGTAATATTCTCAGAACTGAATGTTTGCATGGAGTAATGAAGAAAGGAAAGACTCCCTCTGTAAAAGAATGGCTGAAAGAAAACACTGGCGTGTCAGTAACAGGGTCGGAGAATTCAACTTCTCCTTTGTGAAAGTCCAGCCGAACTCTGATCCTCTGTAGGCTGTCTTTAAGATGGAGCTTAAAGGCTGCCGCTGTTGAAAACCGTGCCAGATATTCACCATGAGAAGCCTTGACACTCCAGGTTTCGCTACCCAAGTCAGTTTTTCCAGTCCTTGGGATAAGTCCAGCTGTCACACCGACCTCCCAATCAGGAACGTCTGTGACCTCAATATCCCAGCTATGGATGCCTGAGGTAAATGCTTCAGAGCCTACGACGCAGTATAATCGGTCAAATCTTTCTGGATTATTAGGGAGGTGTTGTGTTCCATGACCTCGCTGGACACTGGTCAGGTCATCTGAAAGGGTGAGTTCGGGGTGGGCTGTGTTTGGATCCAAAATCACAGAGGCTGCAGAGAGAGATAAAAAAAAAGAGACAGAACAAAAATCCAAGAACACCTGCAAAATACTTCTTTAGGTAACTTTTATTAGGAAATAATTCTCTAATTTTGTGTCAGAAACTCACTGTATTGAACGATCTCCTGCATCTTCTCCCACACTCTGAACGCCAGGTTCCCCACATGCATGGCTTCATCAATCAGCGCTCCTGAAAACATCTGCGGATCCTGCAAGGAGCACTGAGCCCTGCTATAAGTAGCAAAGCATTCAGGAGTCAGTGCTGTTATGGTTCAAAGAATTCAGAGAATTTAATTTCCAACTTGTGAAATTATTCATAGGAAAGAAACTAAAGAAGGATGACTTACGCTTTTGCTACTGCTCTTAAGCTCTATGGAAAATAAATATCAGTCAAATAAAAGACATACCAGTCAAAACATTTGGACATAGAAGCAGCTTCTTCATTATTACTATATTCTACTACTTTAGAATTATAATGAATACATGAAAACTATTAAATTAGGCATTTGAAATTATGAAGTGAGGAAGAAGTTTAAATCAAACCTTTTAAGATATGAGTTTCTGATTTATGATTTGTTTCACACGCTTACTTGTAGGTGCGTAAGTCAATCCAGTTCCTACCTGCATAAATGAGATTTTCTCACTTCCAATTTCCTCTTTCATCATATTGAGAATATAGGAAAAATATGCTATCAACACGTCTATCTCTTCAATCTTCTGTTTAATCATCGCACTCTTCTGCTCCTCTTCCTGTCTCAGAGCAGCTAATCTGGATGCTTCTTCATCTTGAAGAAACTGGTGAATCTTCTCAAACTCCTTCTTGATCTGCTGCTCTGTTTTCTTGGTGTGATACTAAAAGGAACAGAACATACATTAAGTACAATGCATTACTTTTAAAGAACATTATACAAGTCTTGAGGAAAGCTTCCTCCCACCTTAATGCATTTTGCAGTTGGATCATAATTTGATTTGACCTTCTTGAGGACCTGACACTTGTCCTGTAAGAGTCTGAGTGCAGTTTTAAGATCCTTCTGGAATAAATTAAGCATAGTAAACTTAATTTTTACAATTTGTTTATCTCAGTCTCTTGAAAATTTACAGTTATTATTATTTTTTATTTAAAAAAAACTTTTGATAATTGTTCTAATCAAATAACAAATTAGATTAGAATGTCTACATCAAACACATTAAGGTACACAATTAGCATTACATAAAACTTATATAGGGCTGAATTCAGAATAAGTAAAAAAAAAAAAAAAGTTCCATCAAAATGTATGTAGGGAAAGTTACGTGTATTCAGAATCGCCATTATGTACATCCTGAAATTATACTCGGTGTAATACAAGTTATTTTATTGCACTTTTAATTCATGTTTGAGTTCATAAAATAATGGCAATGATTTTGTTAATTCAATGCACTCTCCTATAAAGAAAATGTGTCTATGGTTTAAAGCAGTGGTTCTCAAAGTGTGGTCAGTTTAACCTGGGGGTCAGAGAAACATAGGTATGGAGTATGTGATTAGTAGTAGAAATTAATTGATTCATCCATTATTATTAGTAGTAGTAATTCATTGATAGATTAATGAATTTATTTGTGTATTTTTTTTATTCTGTTACAGTGGTGGAAATCACAACCCAACATTATCCATTTATTCGATTAATTACTGAGTTCTTATAGTTATTGGCTTATTTGATGTCAGATAGTAGTGAGACAGAAACAAAACAAACAAAGTCAAAACAACATTAATAAAATGAGCTAAACAAGAACTGGAAGAACACGGCATGGAACACACAACAGGTTACATACAACAGAAGCTTAGCAGCTAAACACAGGGTGCGTCTCAATCAGCTCCCTAGGGCGTGAATCAGTATGTACCCACTTTGGGGCACTGGTAAGGATCCCGGCTCACTACACATTGGGACACTGATGACTCAATTTACAGCAGCATGACTACGTACTCGCGTTTTAAAACATCACCACAGACATTTATCAAAAACAGATGGGGCCGATCTTTCTGACATTATATCATTTAAAAAAAAACACACACTGTATTAGCGGTTACGTCTCTGGGTTACTGTCGGGGGTTCAAGCCCAAGCACTGTCAAGCTGCCCCTGTTGGGCCCTTGAGCAAGGCCCTTAACTCTCTCTGCTCCAGGGGTGCTGCATCATGGCTGACCCTGAATTCTGACCCCAACCTCCTGGGATATAATGGTAGCCACACAAAATATTGACACTTTGGGCCCAATTTGGACATTTTCACTTAGGGGTGTACTCACTTTTGTTGCCAGCGGTTTAGACAGTAATGGCTGTGTGTTGAGTTACTTTGAGAGGACAGCAAATTTACACTGTTACACACGCTGTACATTCACTACTTTGTCATTTCTTCAGTGTTGTCACATGAAAAGATATAATCAAATATTTACACAAATGTGAGGGGTGTACTCACTTTTGTGAGATACTGTATATGCCCCTGGAGCAGAGAGGTTAAGGGCCTTGCTCAAGGGCCCAACAGTGACAGCTTGGCAGTACTGGAGCTTGAGTCCCTGACTGTCCAATCAGTAACCCAGAGCCTTAACCGCCAAGCCACCACTTGCCCACCATGATTTCGCTTGTCTCACCTTACGGTCATGTGCCGCAATATCTATAGTGGAACATTGATGATTTTCATGTGTTGCTGATGAACGACACGCCACACACAACAGCTGTTCATCTTCTAGGCAGAAGAACTTGAATTTTTCACCATGTAGACCGCAGAGTGATGTAGAACATGCTGAAGCTTTCTCTTTCCTCCCTCGCTGTAGCACGACCTCACACACATCTCTCGGTACATAATTACATGAAGAAGCCACATCGGTTTGCTCTCTGCAAACAGGACATTCCTGAGACCCC